ATGAACTTCGGTGTTTCTAGTCCGATCTGCATGAAACTTTCGGAATATATTAAAATGTGTGTAAATACCGAAGTTGAATATATAGTACACTTTTTCTTAAAATCTGGTATCCTTGCCTTTTGTAAGCTCCGATACATAATTAACAAACAGGAACTCGATATTTATTTTTATCTTTATTACCTTATCGGTTTTTAAGTCTCTAACTTTAATAGTTCCCGAGATCGTCATCTATTCATGAGAATAGATGGAAATAAAGACAGAAGCCTGTTTTATGCGTTATATATAATCTATACAAGAGTGTAAAAAATAAAAAAACTAGAAGATATATATAGTCAGTATAGGGTATTTCTGATTGCATATTACCAGAGCTCTACTGCATTTATCGTACATATTCTTATAGAAGCTTTTAATGTTGTTAATTTGTTTATATCATAATTATCAGCTTAGAATATGGTTTAAATAAAAACTATCTTTAAGGAGCCTTGGCCACTAGACTTGGCTTTAATTTTGAATAAGCGGCTGTTTATTTCAATTAGTTTCTTGCGGTGATTGAACAATTAACAGAATATTGTTTTGTCTTTAAATATTTTGTAAATCAATCGAAACAGCAACAATAACAATAATAAAGACAGCATGGCAAAGCGAATGTTTAATGCAAATGTCAACAGACCAATTAAAATGCATATATGCAACAGCAACAGCAGCAACAACAACAACAACAACAACAACAACAACAACAACAACAATATCAAATCAGATGGTTAAAAGAGCAAACATAGACCTCAACGAGGAGATACTCTTCCCGCAGACCTTTTGCATGAGATAAGTTATTTGTAATCTTTTGCGAAACATTTCCGCTCTTCGATTTGCGCTCTGTTGATTGCGAGTCGAATTATCAATGAACTTGGGCAATATATATGTATCTGAATATATATATATATATATATATATATATATATATATATATATATAAACATATATATTCAATTTGAATAAATAGCTGATCGCATGATTTGAATAACAAGGATTTTTCTCCTTTTACGATACGCGGCCAATCCATAAAATCCAATTGCAACATTTTGATGGCCTTTGACCCTTTCTCTCTAACTGTCTCTGTCACCGTCTCTCTCTCTGTACAAGGTCATAAATATTGCTCAGAAGCAATGTTGCCAACTATTTCAGAGTACATAAATACTTGTTTATGCATGTGCGTGTATTAGTGCCAGGGTCTACTGTGTGTAGTCGCCACGTTTTTCACATTTCAAAACACATGCGAAAATTGACAATAAGTCAGGGCTCATAAAAACAAGTATAAATGCTCTAATCGAGGCTGCCCGACTAGGAGATACTCTATACCCATACTAGTAATCTGTATATACTATAAGAAGACCTACATACCAAGTCCGAGTCCGAATCCGAGAAAGACGGACAGACCGACAAGGCCCGATGCACATGTGTGTCCAAGAATATACTCTATGGGGTCGAAGATGCATCCTTCTGCAGACGGACATGCCAAGATCGACTCGACTCGACTCGACCCGACTCGTCGTCCTGATCAGGAGTGTCTACTTTGTGGAATCGAGATGCTTCCTTCTGCCTGTTGCATACCTGTACACACAACCATAATACCCAACACTCTTTTCAATGGGTTGAGGGTATACATATTGAATCTAGCAAATCGTAAAATCAATGAAAATATGTGTAAATATGGCATATAGATACATATATAATCATCGTACAGATTAGTTTGCTAAGGTCATGACTTTCTATTGATTAACAGACATTGCAATTGCATCCGAGTCTATAAGACTTTAAATGAGAGTATAACAAAAATTTGCTCAACATCTAATATTCTTAAAAGTCGTGAATTGATCATTTTTAATCATAACTTTATTTATCTTTTAATCCAATATCGGGCTGCTGCCCGAAATAAATATTATAGAGGTCGCGGCGGCGAAAAGCTTTTAACACTACGTATTTTTTATTTGAAAACATTTCTATTTACCTAATTATCGCCAAAGTGCGACGCGTACTAAAATAAGCCTCATGATTTATGGCATTGCATTTTCCGGGTATTTTTAGAACTATATTTTATTTTATTTTCCCATTTTTGTTTTTTTTTTTTTGTTCTTAGTTATTTTTATTAATTGATACTCGAAAAACAAACAGCAGCAACAGCCGTCAGATTAAATCGCCAGATGAAATCGCGAGATTTGCGACAATTTGTGAGCATTTATTTATTTTTTGCTATATTTAGGAGCACTTGGGGGCCTTCAGGCGCCATTCGCCATTCGCATGTGCCGAAATGATAAAATGTTTTATTTTTTGATTTTGGCCTAAGAACAAACATATTTTTGGAATCATTCTGGGAGCCAAACTGAAAATTGGCAACGTCGCTTGCGCTTAAATGAATAACAACATTTTTCGGCTTTTCGCAAACAATTTAAAGTTTCCAGCCATCTACTGTATGCCTGCTCTCTCCAGCCAAAATGTGTGTGTCTCTCTGTCTGTCGCAAATTTATGCACTTTGTTCGAATTTGGGTTAAACAACAAGCAACAACATCAGCAGCATCAGCAACAACAGCAGAGCAGGAGCAGGAGCAGGAGCAGCAGGAGTCAGCGGCAAGGATGCAACTTTTCGCTTATTTGGCAAATTTTCAAGTGAAGCAAATTGCAAAAGGGGCAACAAAATAAATAAACGCGCACACACATACACTGTCTGCCTAACAAAAAAAAAAAAAAAAAAAAAAAAAGAAACTGGACGGCTATGCTCGACTAACAGTTACCTTGAATCCAATGGCGCGCAGCCTCTTCCCTCTAGACATATACATAGACATAATAACATAATCATGGGAAACTATGGGAAATACCTTCTTGAATAGCTTAGATGCTTTCTGTGAAATTCTATTGAACTTTCAGGGCCTACACAAGACTAGTTCATTTTGTAAAGAACCTGCATTGGTATCTAAAAAGTGCAGCATTCCCCAAACTAATATACTAAACGAGTGCTTACATATCAAATTGGGTGCTCTTAGCTCTGAAAGTCTTCGAGTTAAGCTTAAAAGAATATGTCTTTAAATCGAAATTGATCGATTTCATGGAAATGGGGTAGTATTAAAATAGTCCTAAATTAAATTTAGTTCGACTAAGCAAAGTCTGAATATCGTGATTCAATCGAAACCACTCAAAGTTTAAGCTAAAGCTCTCTCTCTCTCTCTATATATATATTCCACTCTCTATCTTTTTCTCGCACTCTTTCTTACCAACCAAAAGAAATAAAAAGTTCTATATAAATAGTACAAGGTTTTAAAGCTTTTGCCTGGGACTCGTACAAAGCTTTTAAGTAAGCGCATTAAAGCTGTTATAAAGCTTGTGGAACTAATTGGCTTGTGTTTCTACAATTTGTACTCTCTATGCTGATCAGTTGCATTTTTACAGTCAATGGGAAGAATTGCAAGCTGGCTTAATTTATGGAAATGGTCAAAGCTAAAAGCTCAATTTTATAGAGCTAATCAGCTTTTTTAAACATCTTAAACTTAAAAGTAACTTCAAAGCTTTTGCAAGTTGCCTCATGGAATTCGCATGCCCTTTCCTTTTCGCTTACCCTTACTCTTTTTTGGTACCAACAAAATAAAAAGTGAAAAAAAATAGCCAAGCGAAGCGCGTCCCATGTTGCTGCTGCTAATGAGTTTTGCCGCAATGGGGGCGCTTCGCTTGTGTGCGTGTCTGGCTCACACAACTGTCAGTAAGGAGGCGGCAGGCGGCATGGGGGGGGGGGGGGGCGTGTCAACGCCCACAACAAGTTTTTAACACTAATTGCTGACCGCAAAAGCGTAGCCTGCGGCCAATATGTACCGCGTCGCAGGCGCGTTGTAAGCATCGAACCGCGATTGCGAAAATCAGTTTTGCAGACATCGATTCGTGCCACATGCCATTGGGCTTGATTGTTTTTTATTTGATTTCTGATTTCACAGCTCGATGTGCGCTAATTCGATGCCATTTGACGTCAGCTGAGCACTGCAATTGCCGCGTTGGCGCCCTGATAAACTCCTGACACGGCTGTGGGTCAGCCAAAGGGGAGCCGCGAGCCGAGTCAATAGATGCAAAACGGCGACAATTGCAATTTTGTGATAAGGGAACGGGAATCAAGTGCCTGCGCCCATTAAATCGCGCCATTTGTGACGTCAGAGACGAGTCAATGGTAGCTCGAAAGCACACAAATATTTACAACCAACAATCAATTAACTAACTCTGCAACATGCTCCATGTCCAGCTGGGCTATGCGAAAAGAAGCGTATTCCTGATACGATACTGGATTAAGCATAAAGTGGCTTGCTACAGGAGTCTAAATGCCAAACTTGCTGTCTTTACCTCTTGGGAGCTTGGAGTTATACTCTTCAAGTCCATTATGAAAATCGATTTTTATCGATTTAATGGCTTAATTCTGATCTGTGTCTCTAGCTCTGCCTGTGCGGCATCTTTTTGGTACCAATCCGACGCGACATAATCCTTCCTGCCTGAGCTTATGCCTCCTCTGGCCTATAGCTACGGCGAACGATTGGCAAGTACAGCTTTAAGCTGAGTCGAGGCCACGCCCCGCACCACAGCCTCCTAGGTACTAGCATAGGCGAGACCGCACTCTTTGGCTGCTAGAACATGGCATGGTAATCGAGGTTCAGAGTCACATTCAAGACCCGTTTGGGGCATATCTGGCCAGATTTTAGTGCTCTTGTCAGACCTCGTGGCATGGTAAAAGTATATAATTAAATATATTTTATGTCTATGCCTGTGGCTATGCTACAATTTTCTTCCTTTTTTTTATTAAAGCACAGTTCTCGTATTTGTTGTTAATAAGATGCCATATTTAAATAGTTTTTGTAAATACTCGTGAACATATTTAAGAGAAGCGCGTTTTATAGCAAAACATCATTTGTACGATTTAGTAAGAGCTCTTCAATGCAATTGTTATTCAAATTCTTCTTATGTGTTCTTCATTACAGAGTATTTGTGAACCGATCGCTGCATTTGGAGAATATCAAGTACTATGGCTTCGATATGGATTATACTCTCGCGGGTGAGTAGCCACTATTCATATTATCTATGTAATCCGCACTTATTTGCAAAATTTGCAACATTTAGAATACAAATCACCGCAATATGAGCAGCTGGGCTTCAACTTGGTGAAGGAGCGTCTGGTCTCGATGGGTTATCCGAAGGAGATATTGCAGTTCGAATATGATCCAACATTTCCAGTGCGTGGCCTCTGGTTCGACACGCTCTATGGCAATCTGCTGAAGGTGGATGCCTATGGCAATATTCTTGTTTGTGTGCATGGCTTTGAGTTCATCAAACAGTAGGTTTCACTGTACGTGCACTAGCGCAACCCCAATTAATGAATTGCCCTTTCCCCGCCACAGCCACCAGGTGTACGAGCTGTATCCCAACAAGTTCCTCAAGCTGGACGAGTCCAGGGTTTACGTACTGAACACTCTATTCAACTTGCCCGAAACCTATTTGCTGGCCTGTCTGACCGATTTCTTTACCAATAGCAAAGATTTTGTTCGGTGAGTTCCACGCAAAGAGTCTGAGACAAGCTCACGTCTACATTTTGTATGACTCGAGTATCCCCGTCTACATCTACATGCCACTTTCTAACTCTTTCTCTCTCTCTCTCTCTCTCTCTCTCTCTCTCTCTCTCTCTCTCTCTCTCTCACTCTCACCACTCTCACTCTCTCGCTCTCTCCCGCTTGCTCTCGCGCTCTCTCGCTCTCTCTCTATCTATGTCTACTCGTTTACCCAACAGCGTTGAACGCGGCATCAAAGCTGGTGATTTTCTATTTACGTATAAGTCGATTTTCCAGGACGTGCGACGCGCCGTCGACTGGGTGCATTCCGATGGCGATCTGAAGCGTCGTACCACACAGGTGAGCCAAGTACCCTTTAATAAATAAATGTATGTTGCTCCCTACTCATTTTTAAGTCACATTTTAATGCCCTGAAAATGGGATACAAATCGAAAGAATAAACTTTCCAGAAAGTGGGCTTCATGGAAGACGAAGCACAGCCGCTGCATAAAGGGTGCAGCTATCAGGTTCAGCTGTAACTATTCTCACAGAACAGAAGTTTCTCTATAGAATCGAATCTCTCTCCCGCCAGTCTCAAAACAATTAACCAAAAACACGAGCTGTATCTAAACTAAACACCCAGCTGTTACTTAACCGAACTCTTTGGCCGAACGTGAACTTGACTTAAATTTGTTTTTTCCTTTCTGCAGAATATGGCGTACTATGTGAAGAAGGACAAACGGCTGCCGACGGTTCTGTCGCGCATACGTGAGTCGGGCGCAAAGCTCTTTATGCTGACCAACAGCGACTACACGTACACCAACGAGATAATGAGCTATCTGTTTGACTTTCCTCACGGAGCGACTGCGGATGAGCCGCATCGGGACTGGAAGAGCTACTTCGATGTGATCGTGGTCGATGCACGAAAGCCGCTGTTCTTCGACGAGGGCACGGTGTTGCGACAGGTGGACACGAAGACGGGCGGATTGAAGATTGGCACCCACATTGGGCCGCTGCAGCCGGGTCAGGTGTATTCGGGCGGTTCGTGTGAGCTATTCACCAAGTTCATCAATGCCAAGGGCAAGGATGTGCTGTATGTGGGCGATCACATCTTTGGCGATATACTCAAGTCGAAGAAGATTCGCGGCTGGCGCACGTTCCTCATCGTGCCGGAGCTGGTGCGCGAGCTGCACGTGTGGACGGATGAGTGCCAACTGTTCGCGGAGCTACAGAATCTGGACATCAAGCTGGGCGATCTGTATCGCGATCTGGACTCGAGTGCCAAGGTAAAGCCGGACATATCACAACTGCGCACCTGCATTCGGGACGTGACACACAAAATGGACATGTCGTACGGCATGATGGGCTCCCTATTCCGTTCTGGCTCCCGCCAGACCTTCTTCTCCAGCCAGGTAGTGCGATACGCCGATGTCTATGCCGCGACGCTGCTCAATCTCATCTATTATCCGTTTTCCTATATGTTCCGTGCACCGGCCATGCTGCTACCCCACGAGTCGACGGTCGCCCACGATCAGGCCCATCCGCCGCCCACAGCGGCGTCAACGTCAAGTGCTTCCTCAGCGGCTCTTGAGGGTATCTATACCGGCAGCTCCGTCATCACTGGCACCACCACCAGCAGCAGCAGCAGCAGCACCGTCGCATCCAAGCTCAGCTCGGCTCCGCGCACTGATGAAGTTATAGCTGCAGTAGCGGCCGTGCCCGCGACCGCCGGCAAGGATCCCAAGGATTTGCATCGTGCGGTGAGTCCCAGGTGGAAATAATATATGTGCAAGTGCATCCATAGCTAATCTACTATTTGTTTGCAGAGCTCCATTGTGCACACACGCCCGTCTACGCCCACTGTGGTCACTCACACCCACGACGAGGACTACTCGGAGGAGGAGGAAACGGCCAGCGGTCCAGAATCCGCATCGGAGCAACAGCAGCGCGAAGCATCCGACTAAATGATGTCGCTCCCCCAACGCGGAGATCAACGAATTTGCAAACCGACCTGTTTCTTTTGTCAATTTGGCAGATCTACTCCGTATACCTAAGTGAAGGTTGCAGCCTCCTTTCCCCAAACCCCTTTCCCACTCCCCAATTGCAACTAGTGAGAAACAAGCGATTTTTTTTCGATTTTACATACATATATACAATTATAAAATCTATATATAAAATATGTATACATATATATACACTAGCTGGTTGGTTCCATTTGCCCAAAATATATAAAAGATGTATTTTGTAAAAGCAAAACCAATGAAGTATCTTTTTTTTTCGGTCTGGTCATGGTCATTTGTCACTTTAATCGAGTATTATTCGATGCTTCAGTGAGGAGTAAACAATTAACAATGTAATAAAAACTTAACAAACCCAATGTTCGATGTGTCGAACCATCGCACGAGTTGCGAGTTTCCGGCTTTTTACATCTCTCTGAGGTTATGGTTCAATTTACTGTGTATTAATTTTTTACATATCCACAGCAAAATCCGATCGGAACGTTTTGGAACGTCATATCTCCAAGCGAAGTTATGTCGTTTTGGAACGTCATATGTCCACGAGGAGTTATGTCGTTTTGGAACGTCATATCTCCGCGCGGAGCTATTACAAGAGAGCTATTACCCAAGAGTTATTACCCGAGAGCTATTACCCGGGGTAGGTTAGAATATCAAAACTTTTTTGAATATATTTTTGAAAATCTCGGGTAAATATATCCTGTTTTTGAAATGTTATACCTTTTTGAATTCGTACGAATCCCCACTATCATACGGCATTCAAACAAATTAAAAATTGATGGGTTGAAATGAGCTGTTGCCCAAAAAACGTTTCGTTTGTAAAGACTATCTCGGCCAAATAATCTCAGATTTTGGAATTTTATACTATTTTTGACTCGTAAGGATCAGTACTATCGATTGGCATCAGAAAAATAAAAATTTAAATTTTGAGCCAAATCGACCAAAAAGCAAGGGGTTAGTTACATCACGTTTTTTTCCAAAATCGGGGTAGGTTCGAATATCTCCACTTGATTGACGATTTTTTTGAAAATCTCGGGTAAATATAATCTCATTTTAAAGTGTTATACCTTTTTGAATGCGTACGGATCCCTACTATCATATGGCATACATTAAAAAAAATAGTTGGCCAAAAAACGTTTCGCTTGCAAAGTCCACCCCTTTTGGAGTATCTCAAGTGAGATTCATTAAATTATGCTAAACAAAGTACTGTCCCAATCGAGCTATCTCCACTGGAGTTATTCAAGCCATATAAATAGGTAAGTTTATCTAAATCAATATACTTACTTTGCATACCCAAGCCATTTGCATGAACATAATATTAAACAAGTAAGAGGTTCTAGTCGGGAGCTCCACATTTGGATTGTGCACAAATACAATATACCCTTATACCCATTTTTAATGGGTTCAAGGTATAAAAAATTTAATTTACAAATTTCATCGATTCTGTCGGATGTTTATCCTTCGAAAATTGGAGCTCAGCAAAACGGGAACCATCTGTGGCCCAGTGAGGCTCAGACAAATCCTGCATGAATCCGTTGTAAATAGTAGAAATTCGAGCTTTCGATAATGATTCAGCGATTCACCCGGAACTTATTATAAAGAAATAAATACTGTATCATCATATGTATGTATTTAGGAAAAAGCAAAAAAAAAAAAGTAGTATGCATATCTATTCGTTAATAACGGTGGCTGCAGATGCAAATGCCACGCCCACTTATTATTGCTTGGCAATCTTGTTGGCATCGCAATGCAGATCATTGTAGATGTGCTCGTTCTGGTAGTCGCTCTTCAGCTGCGTGACCAACTCGACGGCATTGTCCTGCAGGAAGACGGAGCGTGAATTAAATGGAATCTGGCTTGGATTTGGGGACTTACGTCAAAGAGGACATTCTTCTCGCCCTGCTGGTACTCGCCAAAGAGTGCAAAGACATCGACGAACTTGCCATGGGCACCGAATCGCTCCGAGATGAGGGCAAACAGATGCTTGATGGTCTCCTGCTCGACGGGCGTGGTGTCGGCACGGGCAAAGATCGCGCGTGGCAGCTGCACCTCCACGTTGCAGTTGGCAACGTCTGTAACGGGGCGACGCTCCAGCGTGGGGCAGACAAGCTGCCAGTCCTTGTGCTGTTCCAGCTGCTTCGCGGGCACAATCAATAGCTGCTGCTCCGTGCTGGGCAAGATGTTGCACCAGTCCAAGCTGCGACGCTTGTTCAACAAGGCAGCACTCAATCGAGCGCGTTCGCTGGTGGCATCAAAATGTCTGTAGGCAATAGGATTAGGGTCATTCGCTGCAGGATTTCACACACACACACACACACACCAACACACACAAGGAACGCTTGTCTTACATGGGAGCCTTCTGCAGTGCATCGCGGTTGAGGGTGGGCGGAGCCACGGCCACAAGCAACTCATCAGTGTCCAGTTGCTCGTAGACCAGCGGCAGCAGCTTGTGTTCCCGTGCATCCGCATAGTTGGCTGCGGCAGCGACCAGCATATCAGCCTTGTTGGTGGCCAGCGCCTCAATACAGTCTGTGGATTGGACGCACTCGAGCTCTGGGCGCGCATCACGGGCGTAGGCGGCACGATGCAGAGCCTGGCACTTGGAAAACTCAGTATCCGTTTGGGTGCAGAGGCGCAGCTTGCGTATGGCGCTGCCATCGCGCTCAATCACATCCTTGTAGCCGGCACGCTCCAGATAGACCTTGGGATCGATGGCCTCCGGCTTGCTGTGATAAAACGCATTTTGATTGATGAGCAAATGAGCGGCTGCCTCCTGATTCTGGGCGTGCAGGCCATTGGCAAAGAAGCGTTCCAGACGCGACTGCAATTGGTGGAGCTTCTCTGTGCCGTGCACAGCCTGCTCGTTTGAGATATAGCCGCTCCAGGGGCGCTGGGCCCAGGAACAGGCTGGTCCGGTTATCGGGCGACGAGTGCCGTCCTCGCACAGATACTCAAAGTCCTCGGGCTTGCCTTCTGCTGGCGGCGCCGTCGGGCTGCCGGTCAGGCCGAAATACTTCTTGATGAACTGCACCTTGGTAAAGGCGACATCGCCCTGGCCCTTGTCTAGGCAGCGTATGGCACCATCGTAGCCACTGTATTTGTCCGGATAGTTGCACTGGGCCGGCTTCTCGCATAGCGCGCATAGATTAGCATATTTCTTCTTGAGCAGGCGATCCGTCTCCGGATGCGCCGAGTAGTTGCCCACCAAACACGATTGCGTAAAGAACTCGGACAGCGATTTCAGTTCCCGCTCTGTTGCCGAGATTTGCGGATCAGCGGACACCTTCAGCACGTTCGTATTCTTCAGCTTGGTAATCGGAATCCTGTAGCCCACATTACGGCCAAAGCCCGTGTGGCACGACTTGGCGCCGCGCAGCTCCTGCAGCGTGTGTATCGCTGATGATTTCTTCACCAGGATAATGCCCTCATAGCGGAAATCAGCTGGAAATCAGGAACTGCTGTTAAACTGGGCTAGCTAAGATTTTCGAGTCCAAGTTTCGGCACAAACGAACTTTTGTTTTGCATATATCACGCCTGAATCTAAATCGCTGCACATTATATTTATTTGACGTAATTTATTCGTGAATTATATTCGGTTCTCTATTCAAATTTCACTGTTAAATATTTCACTTTATTTTAAGAGGCTCTTTTTTTTCAGATTAAATATTGACTGCTGCATGAGGCTGGGTTCTCAATTGAAACGCAAAGGGTTTTTAATTCAGATCACTTTCACAGGTTTGTTTATTCAAAATTGCGTTGAAAATAGCTGGTTTTTCTATTTAAATTCACAGGCTACCTTGTTAACATTTCCCTTCATTTTCTCGCGCTCATTTTTAATTTCGGAATGCCTACACATTTTATTTGATCAATTTTTGACTTCACATATCTAACTGCTGCATTGCATAATCTTAGAGATTATTGTATACCTTTTTTTTGAATGCTGTAAAAAGCTGCTTTCTCTCTTTTTTTTTTTTTTTGAATTGAACTTTGTAATATCTCAGCTCATTTTCATAGGTTCATTCTTTCAGAATTGATTTCATTTCATTTCCTTTTTTCCTAATTGCAAAAATCTGATTTTCTCTATTCAAATTCAACGGCCGATTTTCACTAGAGTGCTGCCACTTTGTTATTATTTCGGTTCATGTTCACAGGCTCATTTTTGGAATTCGAATACCGCAAATCTAATAATTGACAATTGCTAAAGTTAGAGAGACACTAGATTCTATGCCTATATGGAGATCAAGTTTGGGTCCCTTACTCGATCTGCACCGCCGCAAATAAAAAAACAGTAACATTTTTAAATATTGCCTTTTTATGCGAGGTTCGTGACCTCTCAAGTAAGGCTAACAGATTTTTTTTGGTTTTGTGTGTGATTTTGTGTATATAGTTTTGTTTGAAATAAAATAAACTGTCTTTCTGGTCCCTGACTATCTCACTTCCTGTCAGCCGTCATATCATCCTGTTCTAAAAATCGCCTAATGATAACAATCGCCTAATTGAAACTGTGGGCCAATGGGCCACATTATGTGTTATTATTGCTGGCAACAACCAATTACCATTTCTCGCACATTGGGAGTACTCACCATCCTTGTCCTCCTGGGTGCGTATCTCGGATATGATACGATAATCCTCATTCTTGCGATGATATGCCATATACATGTCCTCCGGTTCGCTGGCCAGCACATCGGCCTTGCGCTGCTCGATCAGCTCCAGGCACTCGATGCGATCACGTCCCGATACACACTCCATGCGTATGCCCGCCTCGGATGGATCTTCGAGCAGCTTCTGGCAATCGCTGAAATAGATTTGGGGCACACACAACCGATCTGCAATACAAATATTTCGATATATTAGTCTACATTCCAATTCCCATCGAGAGTTCAGTTCGTTGGCTTACAGATTGGCTCCTCGGCGGCGCCATTGCTGCAGTGCAGCAGCAGCAGCAGCAGCGTTACCGCTGGCAGAATCCGTGTGATCGTCGTTGATGCCATCGTCGCTTTAGCTCAACTGTGGAGCTCGGCTTGCCGGCCGGTGCTTTATATAGGCGCGCGAATCATTTCGCTTTTTGCTCTATTTGCTATTATTTTCGCCTTTGCTTTTGTTGTGTTGTGTTATGTTGTTTTTCTTTGTTTTTGCTTCATTTTGTTTTGTTTTGTTTTGTTTTGGTTTGTTTTTGCTTTTCCACCATGTGCCGCTGTGTCTCACTCTCTCCCTCTCCCTCTCCCTCTCCATCGCCTCTCTCTCTCTCTCTCTTCAGCAACGGCCGTTTTGATTGCCGGTGATCTTTCCATTAAGCAACAGCCACAAAGAAAACAAAACTTTAACGATACTGTACGTAGAAACGTCTCGAGCACTTTTGCCCGATCGGCGGGTTCTTCCCGGCTAAGCTGAGCTCTGCGCTACGCGTTGGTCGCCGGGCGTGTGGGTCTGCCTGCCAGCTGCCCATGACAACTAGCTGGATGTCTTAATGCAATTAATTAATCAATTAATATTGATCGATTGGTTACGGACGTGAACTCGCGTGTTCTAAGAGCCAAAAGATCACTAAAATCGAATCGGATAAAGCCCAATCCAATTGAAAGTCGAAAAGGAGGAGAGATAGAGGCAGGCAAATCGTGTTAAGCCGTAGGCAACTATATTATATGTAGGTTAAGCAAAATCCGGTAATTAATATTAGTTCCCGTTCCGAGAAACTGATAACTAGATAATCGAGTTACGCTGAGAACTGACCTTCGAAACAGCTCATCAGCCAGTTTTGTGGCACAGTCAAAAATAAATAAATACAAATTAAACAAAATTCTAATAACTAACAGTTATGAATTGTATATATATATTTATATATATATATAAACTATCTAAGTAGATGAATCGAATTTCTTTTTGGCATAACCTAAATACAATTCCTTGTTGTTGGTCTCCACCAATTGGCTGAAGCAGCTGCTTAAAGCTAAGCACGTTCATATCTTTGGGTACACTGAGCACACATACACATGTACACTGAAATAAAAGCATCTTGCTTCTTAAGTACTTGTAAGTATAAGTAATACCTTTTGAAATGCTCTAAAATAAAGAACAATTTGAATTGTGAATTCTGTTCTCTTCTGACGTAACAATTTTCGATCAATGTTTGTCATTGATTTGCTGTATTTTTCTCTGAGTGTACCCACATCATATATTAATAGATTATATATTTTTGAACAGGTTATCGCTGGGAAGCATCGGTTAGACCACAGCGCTTTCAGAATAATTTCCCAGTACTTATTGGATTAGTGCAACTAAGTCACTTAAAGTCCAATCCAGAGTCCTACACACTCCCGCGCCTCGTAGTGCCTACCCCCCGTCACGTCGACTACTAATTGATGACCCCAGCTTGCATTAAAAAAACGGGCATAGTAAGCAATGCGAACTGTCATCATTTTATTTATTTATTTTTTTTTTTTTTTGCTGTTTTCTTCTTAGGCCAACAATTGATTTATTTGCATGTCAGAACCTGTTTCGTAGAGCCCACAACAGGCAATCGCATCGAAACCCCTTTGCGAATATAAATTTTGCGATCTATTTAAAATGCAAGTGCGCAATGGTCAGGGGCAGGGGCAGGGTGGGGCGGGGCATGGCGGGGTCGGCAGTGGTCACAAAACAAATTGTCAGTTTTGTGGTGGGCGGCGGGCTTATAAACGAAGCTAAATGAAATTCGCTGGAAAAGTCGGATAAACAAGATCACAAAAGTTATTCTTAAACGTATCGCCGCAGCGGGCGAACTTAATTATGTATTTTATTTATTGTTATTACTGCTTACGAATGGTGCACTTTTTGGTCAGGGCACCGAGTTGAACCAATTAAATGTTGCTGCTATATAAGTGCTTAGTTTATATTATTCATAATAGTCCTCTAGATGTGCATAACTCTGGGTGCATACAGAGTAGATAACTAGTGTGTGTGTGTGTGTGTGTGTGTGTGTGTGTATGTGTAAATTGCACTTGTATTAAAAGGTCAATTGAAAAACACGACGAATTGTCGCAGCACGACGGGACTTTCCAAATGACTTACGGGGAATTTTAAATTCAAATTGAATCAAATCTCAGTCTAAGAGGCAGCGCGGGGGCAGTGCGGTCAATTTTTATTGCCGTTTATTACTGTTGTTATGCATAATAAAATGAAATGGAAAGCAAGAAAGCAGGCAAAATCAGTTTAGCGATAAACAAAGTGGAAAACCACAACATTTGTTCTAGAATTTACGTTATTTTTAAAGCCAAGCGAAACAAACATTTTTAAATGACATTTTAAATTACCCGCCAAATGGCAGCACTAATTGTTCTTGCCGCATTTATTAACACTAAAAGTATGAGCGCCGCCTGTTGGCTTTTCAGTTAACTAGTCTGGCACACGCAACCGATTCTATAGCTGCAATATGGTCACACATGCCTTGTGTCAAAATGTGGAGAACTGGTCACACTGATCTTTTGCCTCGAAACAAATGACACGTCAAGTGAATTGCATATTGGGAGGCAAACAGTGAAATAAATCGGTAATAAATTATACAATTAACTATACAATTCGATATACAAATCGTGGACAGCGTTGCTGGTTAGTTTGGTGCAAAGATGACCCAAGTGCCGTGTTACACGATCATCAACTCGCCGGACCTCGAGGTGCCGAACGAGATGCAGCTGAAGCAAGACCTCGAAAAAGGCGACACGAATGTAAAAATCGAGACGCTCAAGAAGGTGATCAAGCTGTTGCTAAACGGTGAGCGCTATCCGGGTCTCATCATGACCATCATACGGTTCGTGCTGCCCGTTCAAAATCACACTATCAAAAAGCTGTTACTCATCTTCTGGGAGATTGTACCGAAGACCTCGGCCGATGGCAAGCTGCTCCAGGAGATGATACTCGTGTGCGATGCCTACCGCAAGGTGAGTACGCAGCCAGTTCAATCCCAGCTTGTAACTGACCGTACCTGCTACATTCCCTCAGGACTTGCAACATCCGAATGAGTTTCTGCGCGGTTCCACGTTGCGCTTTTTGTGTAAGCTGAAGGAACCGGAGCTGCTGGAGCCCCTGATGCCGGCCATACGGGCCTGTCTGGATCATCGCCACTCGTATGTGCGCCGCAATGCTGTCCTGGCCATATTCACCATATACAAGAACTTTGATTGGCTGGTGCCAGATGGTCCCGAGCTGATTGCCAACTTCCTGGACACGCAGCAGGACATGTCGTGCAAACGCAACGCCTTCCTCATGCTCCTGCACGCCGACCAGGAGCGTGCTCTTAACTATCTGGCCTCGTGCATCGATCAGGTGCAGAGCTTTGGCGACATACTCCAGTTGGTCATTGTGGAGCTCATCTATAAGGTGTGCCACGCCAATCCCTCCGAGCGTTCGCGCTTCATTCGCTGCATCTACAATCTTCTCAATTCGTCGTCGAATGCGGTGCGCTACGAATCCGCTGGCACCCTGATTACGCTCTCGCTGGCGCCGACTGCAATAAAAGCAGCTGCCGGCTGCTACATTGAGCTGATTGTCAAGGAAAGTGATAACAATGTGAAGCTCATCGTGCTCGACCGTCTGATTGCCATGAAGGAGAACGAGAACATGGAAAAGGTCATGCAGGATCTGGTAATGGATGTGCTGCGCGTGCTTGCCGCCCCAGACATCGAGGTGCGCCGCAAGACTCTGGCCCTGGCCATGGACTTGGTCTACTCACGCAATATCAACGAAATGGTGCAGGTGCTGCAGAAGGAGGTGGCCAAGACGCACAACGTTGAGCACGAGGATACGGGCAAGTATCGCCAGCTGTTGGTGCGCACCCTGCACACTTGCTCCATCAAGTTCCCGGATGTGGCCAGCAATGTGATACCAGTGCTGGTGGAGTTCCTCTCCGACACAAACGAGCTGGCCGCCGTCGATGTGCTGATCTTTATTCGCGAAGCAATACAAAAGTTCCCTGCGCTGCGCGGGCTTATTATAAAGCATCTGATTGAGGCCTTCCCACAAATTAAATCCTCAAAGATTCATCGTGCTGCGGTCTGGATATTGGGCGAGTATGTCGAGGGCGAACTGATGCTCGAGGTGATTGAGGCCATACAGCAGACCCTCGGCGAGATACCCATGGTGGATGCGGAGCAACGCCGCCTCGCCGGCGATCAGACCGAGGAGCAACTGCAGCAGCAGCAGCAACAGCAATCGGGCACGGCCGCCAGCGGCGAAGCAACCATTAGCAGCAGCAACAAGGTTACATCCGATGGCACCTATGCCACGCAGAGCGCCTACAGTCTGGCACCGTAAGTCTCTAAAGCCAGCACTCTCTTCAGCGCCATTTATTTGTCTCGATCTCTTGCAGAGTAACCAAGAAGGAGAAGCGACCACCGCTGCGCCAGTATCTGATGGATGGTGACTTCTTTATTGGCGCCGCACTCTCGGCCACGCTGACCAAGTTGGCGCTGCGCTATGCTGAGCTGGAGCCGGATCCACGCACACAAAACCGTGTTACCACACAGGTGATGCTCATCATGAGCTCCATATTGCATCTGGGCAAATCTGGTTTTCCCAGCAAGCCCATCACATACGATGACTCGGATCGCATCATGATTTGCCTGCGCACGCTCAGCGAGCGCACGCCGGAGGCGGTGGCCGTGTTTATGCACGATTGCCGCGATGCGCTCGGCAAGATGCTGGATGCCCAGTCGGAGGAGGATCAGCGCATGCTGAAGGAGAAACAGCGTGCCACGGCCAAGGTGCAGCCGGATTCGCCGGTGCTGTTTGCGCAGCTGTCAAACGGACGCGACAATCAGCTAGGCGAAAATGTTTTCGAATCCAGCTTGAATCAAGCATTGGCTGGCACCAAGAGCGCCCAGCTCAGCGACATGTCCTCGCCCAACAGCAAGCTTAACAAGGTCACCCAGCTAACGGGCTTCTCCGATCCGGTCTACGCCGAGGCCTACGTTAATGTCAACCAGTACGACATTGTGCTGGACGTGCTGATCGTCAACCAGACAAGTGAGTGTAGTTCGCGTAACTCAAATCTCCTCCAGTCTTGATCCCAATATCAATATCCCATTCCCTCAGATGACACACTGCAGAACTGCACATTGGAGCTGGCCACTTTGGGCGATCTGAAACTGGTGGAGCGTCCGCATCCAGTGGTGCTCGCGCCGCACGATTTTTGCAATATAAAGGCCAACGTAAAGGTCTCCTCCACAGAGAATGGCATCATCTTTGGCAATATAGGTGAGTGACCAGTAAGGGCTTCACTGGTAGCCGGCTAATTTTTAACCATTGTATCCCTCCGTCGCGCAGTTTACGACACGGCGCTGAATACTAACGTTGTGGTACTCAACACCATACACATTGACATCATGGATTACATCATTCCGGCCAGCTGCACAGACACCGAGTTCCGTCAAATGTGGCAGGACTTTGAGTGGGAGAACAAGGTGACCGTTAACACCAGCTTCACAGATCTGCACGAGTATCTCAAGCACCTGCTGAAGAGCACCAACATGAAGTGCCTGACGCCCGAAAAGGCACTTTCTGGCCAATGTGGCTTCATGGCCGCCAACATGTATGCCAAGTATGTAAACAATGCCTGCTCTCCTTTCCAGCCTTCAGCATAACGATTCCCGATTCCAGATCCATTTTCGGAGAGAACGCCTTAGCCAATTTGAGCATTGAAAAGCCCGTTGATGATCCCGACTCGAAAGTAACTGGCCACATACGTATACGCGCTAAGAGCCAGGTGCGTGTTTTGTTTACGTTCACGTTCCATTGTTATTTTGACTCACTGTTCATGTTCATCCGCAGGGCATGGCACTTAGCCTGGGCGATAAGATAAGCTCCTCGCAGAAGCAATCGGTGCAGGCCGCCTAGTTGATCATTAATAAAGGAAACAATAGGAGCAACAAGAGCAGCAGCAGCAGCCAGCACAAGAAATTCAACATATTTTAGAGGTAGTCGAGCCACGGCCTGCATTCCGCCTGATTTTTAATAAAAGCAGACCACAACAGCTACAACATACAGCATACTACAATAATGCATTCAATTATAAATAATAAAGTTAACCGCCCCAATTCAAGTGTTCTTATTTTGTCACGCACACAATTCGTCCACATTGTGCGAAAAAGACAACCTATCTCTATGTCGGTACAATGTGCTGCATGCTAGAGCGAGAACGCACGTACTGCCATGTTTCCATAACTGTGCCAAGACTTCACATATTTAAAGGGCAGAATGGCTGTTTGGCCAGGATGTTATCTAGATAGACTCAATATTCAAAATTTATTAACATTTATTTTGAGATGAACAAGTTTTTTGGGAAATGTTATTTTTGATTGGTTACGTGTCAGAATTGTCATCAATTTATATATTAGCTATTACACAACTAAATCGTTTTACGTTTCACTATGCGTGCATAATTTAATAAATTGCTCTAGGTTACAGTTTGTTTATTTATTCATTGGAGCATGTTTAAAACAAGTTTATTTCGTCACAATTTGAAATGAACGATTGTCACACCATAGTCGCGCGTATCCAACTATCGATATGTTATCGCACCAATTCGATTAAGTTTTCCCGATGATTGTTGAGGCGTTTGACAGGCCCAGCGCTAGCCGCTGACGTGTTTCCAGCAATACAAAAACACAAATCAGTTTATCCACACACAACATAATTTAGCATATTTAACTGGGAATGTGCGAATCCGTGATTTCGCCCACAAAATAACATAATAATCATTTGGGTAAAGTCCAAACATATAGACAGTGTGCAGGGTTAAACAATTCAATAATTATCAATTGCCAACATTTTAGACTCCGAATGAAAGTTGGCAACTGCTGAGAAACAACAACAACAACAACAACAGCTAAATTAACGGACACAGCGGTTAGCACTGGGGTGAAGCGGCCACGGCAACAACAAACCAAGTGGAAAGCCAGCCGCATTAAACTGTAGCCGTGGCCACAGTCGACTGCAAGCACGCATTGATCACACACACGCATACACGCACACGTATACACATACCCATTTGTGGCTTACGTTGAGGTTGGCCAGGTCAAAGAGGAGAGGACACAGGCATAGACATGGCGCTGCTGACGATGATTGCCCGTGTTATTGATGGCCTGCCGCTGGTGGGCACCATGCAGGACGACGAGCAGGTGCGTCGATTAGCACACAAAACGCACACTCACATTCACCTAAATAGCTTTAAAACGAAAACACTTTCACTTTTTGTGCATTAGAGCGGTCGCAGCATCTTGGACTACCAAAATCAGGCGAAAATGTTATTTCGCAAGCTGGGCACACACTCGCCGGCGCGCAGCAGCATCGAAACAGGACCATATTTATTCCAGTGAGTAGTAATTAAACGTTGATCAACACTGAATGACAATTCAATTAACCAAATAACATGAATTGTTTTTGAATTGACTTCGATTTCGACTTCGACTTTGACTTCGCACCCGTACAGCTATCTTATCGAGAACGATGTCTGCTACTTGGTGATGGTTGATAAAATGTATTCAAAGCGCTTGGCATTCAACTATCTGGAGGATCTGGCGCAGGAGTTTCACACAAGCTATGGCAGACGTGTCAACTCGGTGACACGCCCCTACGCCTTCATCGAGTTCGATGTGTACATACAGAAGGCGAAAAGGCAATTGACTGATCGCAGGCGCAACATCAGCAACATCAACACACAGCTGCAGGATGTGCAGCGCATCATGGTTCAGAACATTGATGATGTCCTGCAACGTGGCACTGTCTTGGCGGGTGCGTCCAAAACACATTCGTTTAAACCTAACGCAAAAACATAAATGCATTCATTCCAGAGCTGGATACAAAAACGCAAAACCTGTCAATGATGTCGCAGAAGTATAAAAAGGATGCCAAATTGCTGAATCGCAAATCGATGTACGTGAAAGCGGCCGCCGTGGGCACTATATTTCTAGTGTTTATACTATATTTTTGGGTTTTGTAATATATGTATGTACATACGTTAGACGCATTAGTTGTTTAGTTGTTAATTGTAATTGGCGTTGTAGCGGCGCGGCGCAACGCAATTGATGTTTGTTGTCGTTGTCGCCGTGCTGTCATCGTTGCCGCCACAGCGTCATAGACGTCGTCGTTGGCAGCGCAGCAGCAGATCGAAGCGGCAGCAAGTGTGCCTGCCGCTCATTACAAAGGCCAAAAGACATTTAAATATTTGATATAGTAATTGTATAACAGCAGCAGCAGCAACAACAACAACAGCAGCCTAGTTAACAATAGACACTAAATTGGAGGCAGGCTACTTTGATACGCTTTAAATTACCTTGCGTTGTGGGTTTAAATTTAATTTCCAAACATGCACACACACACACACACGCCCAAAGAGGGGCAAAGACTAACGAAACAATTCCATAAAACAGCGATAATCCTCAACAGTCCCATTGACTTCTGTTTATGACCCTTTTTCATATCGCATTCAATTGGCTTGCGAGCGGAATTATATTGCATGCAAAAATGTAATTGCCGCATTAATTTTATATGTAACTTTTATCTTTTTTTTTCTATTTATGGAACCTGCCAGGCAATGAAATTTTGTAAATTGTAGAAATCCAAGCAAATGTGTGTATAAAATAATTTGTATATGATGCTAATCATGATTATGACTAATGATGGATGGTATGTTACATCAATAAAATACAATATTAGGCAATTTATACAAATTATTAAGCAATTAAAGCAATCTAAATGAGTTCATTAAGTACTGAGTACTTGACACTTCTTGGTAAATAATTATTTCAGCCAACAGAATCTTGGCTCTTCAACTGGCTCTTGGTATTCCATTTCCCCGCTCAAAGGCCAACAATAAAAACGCTTACTTGTAATATTGTTTTGTTTAAGTGATTAATTTTCCCTTTATATATTTCCTTTCATTTGAGTGATGATATATATTCGCCTATTTCTTGCCATATTTGCGCTGACAAATGTGTGTGTATATATATATATATACCATATATATATATAACATATATGTATATATATATATATGCTATATATATGGTATATATATATATATGTTGTGTATATATATGTATAGTTTAATGCCGCCTTTCGGTTTGCGATTTTGCATATAAATTTTTAATATCAAATTTTTACAATTAGGAAAAAAATGCGCTGTTACCATTTACACAGTTATGCAATGTTTGTATATAATCTTTCTTTTTGTTAAATATATGTGTGTACCGTATATATATGTCTATATGTGTATACTATACTTTATTAAAAGTTAATTTAACAAAATTCAAAATGATATTCCAAAGCGCATTGAAAAATACTTGGTAAAAATGGCCAATCGACAGGGAGCAGTTTTTAACTTTACGTTTTTTCAAATTTGAATATATTAGAAGCATTGCATGTGTTCTATTAATTTTTTGTTGTAGCTGCTTTAAGCTTTATGCACTTTTCTTTTCTTTTCTTTTTTTGGAGTGTATAACCTACTTGGGAATTTGTTTTTCTATATAAATTTAAATATATGTATACAATTGTTTCATTTTTGTCAATTGTTTATCTTGTTTCTCTGGATGCTTTCTTTGTATAAATTACAAAAGAACATTTCTATGTTGTATATCAATTGCAATTGTTATAGTTGCTTAAATTTGTTATTTTTACTAGAAGCTCTGGCTGTGTTCGGTTGGCTATTTATTACTTTTACAAATATATTTTGTTGTTAACATTTTTAGAAGAATTTAAATATATATAAAAAAAAACATATTTTGCTGTAGTGACGGGACACAAAAAAAAAAAAAAAACAATATACAATAATATATTTAAATAAATTTAAAAAAAAAAAAAAAACTATTAAATGGTTTATAATATGAACACTTTCTTTCACATCATAACTAGACAACATTATGTATAATGTGCTCTACGCAAAAAATGAGCAGAAATCATAATGCCTAGTCTATATTTCTATACGTATGGTATCTAGTGCTATGCTAAATAGGTTTTCTAATTCCTTGATTACCTTTCGTTTATGAATAAAAAAAAATACACAAAAAAAAAAAAAACGGTATCCTATGTCTGGGCATGAAAACTTCTATACAAAATATGGTCATTAAATTGTTAAATCTTCCACCCTGGTGCTCATGGGTAAACCTAATGCTTATTGCAATTTCTGCTTTAGCTAATGTTTGTTCATTTTGTTGTTGTTATTTTTGGCTTGTTTCGTTATCTTGGTTTGTTGTTGTCTTCTTCGTCTTCTACATTCAAAGGCAGTTTTTGAGCATGGAGGGACAAGGTGAGATTCACGACGAAGCACTGATTAGCAAGAATATCGAATATAGTAACAGTACGAGTATACATAGGTGAGAGAAGAAGATTGAGACGGAAAAAACAATCAGAAGAAGAAGAAAGTAATGAAAAAGTGATTTGTACAAATTGCAGTACAAAAACAAATCACAAAATAAAATCCATAGAAGTAGCAGAAATATACACACACACATTGAATAATATATAGAATATATGTGATATGTACCTATCGCGGGGTACGGCTTATAGCTATTCAAAAAAAATCTGTTTACAATATACGCATATATAGGTATGCTTATATGGGCTTTAGAGTACGAGTACCGTTAATAGCTTAGCTTAGGAAAGAACGTTGTTGTTTAGTGAAGAGTAGCGCGTAAAGTGCAAGAGCCCGGCATAGATGACGGCGTTGCTAAGACTACGCAATGCGTTCTAAGTGCTCCTCTACACGCATGGCTCTCATATACATATGCATGCGTGTGTGTTTACGTGTACATTCCTGTGCACGGCCTGATCCTGCTAACAGCTCACTTGATTCGCTGATGGTCGGGCGTGCTCTTCAGTATATCCGGCTGATGCGGATGATGATGATGATGATGATGATGGCCACCCGTCTGCGAGTTGAGCGTGCCCTGATGGCTTCCGCTACCGGCACCTACACCACCTACACTACCAGCGGCACCAGCGGATCCGCCGCCGGCGTGATGCGAACTGCTCAGCGTGTGCGAGTGAGTTGAGTTGAGCGTGTGGGTGGCATGCGAGTTGAGCGTGTTGTGGGCCGTTGTGGTTGCATTTGTGGAGAAGCCCGTTATACTGCCGGCAGCACCGACAGCAGTGAGGCCAACTACACCAGCACCAACAGGACAGCCACCAGGACCAGCACCAGGTCGCTGGGAGGTGCGTAGCGAACGATGCGAGCCGTTGCGGGTGAGCGAATTCATTTGCGGCGTGCCGGGCACCGTGTGCCCCAGAGCATTCATGTAGTCAGCGATGAGCAGCGTGATCTCCAATATCTTCGGTTTGCTCATGGCAAAGAGCAGCTTCTGCTCGCAGCCGCCCGCAAGGGTGCCGTCATCGTGTGAGACGACTAGCATGAAGTCATCCTGGCAGCCGCCGAAGGTCATCACGGTGCTGTACGGATAACGCGCGACAGGTGCCATCGTGGACAGCTCGAGCACATTGAGTGCATCCTCGGCAACGGCCAGCCAGGCGACGGGCGAGCCGGTGGCCGCATGCGGCTCGCACTGGCGCGGCTTGGCTTGGAATAGGCAGGCGCCGAAGTAGGGCCATTTGCGGCAGCAGGTCAGATAGATGCGCACGCAGTCGAGCGTGGAGCGTCCCTTGAGCAGCGTCCACTTGGATATGAGCAGTTCCTGCACATCCTTTAGCTGCTCGGCGCCAAGGGCATCCCGATACCGATACGGATAGAACTTGTCCAGCGCCTTGAGCCCGGCATCGCGTGACTTCTCGTGCGTGTAGTCACCCATGTCGATCTGCGACATCAGCGAGGCCAGCTCCAGGGCCAGCTCGCGTGAGAGCGGAAAGCGGCCCTGCACAATCTGGGCATTGGTCTGGTAGCACAGCAGCAGGCGCTCCTTGTCAGTCTCGCACTTGATGGTGTGCTTCCAGTAGAGTCTGTTCTTGTAGCTCAGCTGAATGACGCGCGAGTTCTCGAACTTGCCGGAGCCTTTCTCGCGCAGCGCCGTCTCCCACTTGCTGATCACATCGCACAGCTTGGCCAGTGGCTCCAGATAGTGCTCCAGATCCTTTTCAATGGGATCATCGCTAAACAGGCAAAAACCGTTGTTGGCATCGCGGGTGCCCAGCTCCTGGGCCAGTGTTGTTTGGAACTCCTCGATGGTGGTGGAGCCATCGAAGGAAACCACCTGCAAAGAGTTGATATTCAGATTACAATTGAACTAGTTCACTGAACGTAAAAATAAACACGAAATTCGCTCTAAACCTCTTTTATAACCTAAAATGCTCATATAATTTAAAAACTATAGAACTACTAGAATATATAATTACAAGTGTGAACACGTGTACTTGTAAACCAGATCAACAAATAATAAGCCGGTGTACAAAACCCTCACAGGTTGAGCAGTAAATTTGCTAGCTTTTGAACTAGTTATTTAGTTTATGAACTAGTTCAGAGAACTAAGCGGCTACTAAAAAACTACATGCAAAGTTATTGAATGAAAATAGATCATCGTTGACTAGTTGGCTAGACTTGGTGTGAGCTAGTTCACAAAAATAGTTCCTGTTCTAAAAAAAAAGGCCGAAAAGTAAACTTGTGGTGATCCTATCTTAAAGTTATTGAGAAAACAAAATCAAACTATAAGAACTACTACGTTTGATTTGGTGAACCAGTTCACGTTTGCTGCTTACCTGATACGTGGTGTTCATCATGTGTACGGGTATGGCATGCGGCAGGGAGTGATGATATGGATTCTTCAGCAGTATGGAAAGGACCTCCATGCGGGATGGCTTCGTCTCGCGCCCTCCGTTCTTCAAGGTGCGCTCCAGTGCCCGCTCACAGTAGGCGGCATATTTGCCCGTCTCCGTTTTGGTGTCCGCATTGCGAGACAAATGCAGCTTGAGATACCAGAGCAGGCGACTGGATTTGGGCACAAACAATGAGACGGCCAGAGCGAGTAATTGCCAGCCCTGAACAAAGCTGTACGCGGGCGGATTTGACTTGCAGTCGATAATGGGCGTGGAGACGGGCGCCTGTTCAAAATCAACAGAGAAAGAGAGCGAGAGACAGTTAGTTGAAGAAGAGAGCATCTTGAGTTAAGGATTTGGCAACTCTACAATTGACTACAATAACTGAAAGCAATCGTACTACTTGGGATACACGATAATAAACAAATCGTGTATCGTATATCGCATATGATTTATCGAATATCGATTATCGAATGACAAGACAAATTTCCCCTCATACCTGTATTGATGTGGGCGAACTGCCGTTGGCTTGAGCTTGGCCTGCCTGTTGGGTATCACAGGTGAACAGGCTTTGGGTGGCGCACAATAGTAGTTGCTGTAAATTTCGTGAGCGTTGTCGTCGTTGTCGTCAAATGGTTTACGTACAGTGTTGGAAAACGGTTGGTATTTACGGTTTACGGTTATCGGTTATCGGTATTGGATTTGGTTCGATACACATACAAACGAAACGAAAAACGTTTCAAAACGAAAAAGAAACAGAATAGAAGAATAGAAGAAAAGCAAAAAAACATTTGCTCATCAATTTGTTGCTGTTTAGCTGAACACAGAGTTGAGTTTGTTTTTTTTTTCATCCATATGTTGTGTTTTTTTTTTGTGATTTTGTTCTTTTTTACAGAGTATCCTTAATGTATATGTATGATACGCTATACAAAAGTAGTTCTCTTTTTTTTTTTTAAGAAGCGTAACTTGCAAAGGAAATGATTAAAGTTTAATAATGCGAAACATTCAAAGCCATTGAAAAAAATAATGATAGCAGCAAACTAGGCGCAAGTTGAACAACAGAAAGGGACAAACCATAAACGAGTTAGAAAACTAAATATCAATAAACTGGAAGACAATTATGAATACAATGCACGATTTATGCGTGGCCACCTTAAACATGATTAACAATTTATCGCAAATCGATATTAAATCGATAAAAAATTGAGTTATTGGGAAAGTTCTTATCACGTTAAATGAGCTGCGCATAAACGTAGAACAAGAGAGAGCGAGATAGAGTGAGTGAGAGAGACAGAGAGTGAGTGCAGTAGAGAGAGTATTCGAGTAGTATACGCATACACTGAGCATAAAAGTATACTTTCAACTCGAGTTGCTGTTGTGTAAGTGATTTGAGTTGTTTCCATTTCATGTATGTATGTATATAGATTGGGTTGGGTAGGGTATGGCTTGTATGTAGGCTTTGTTTCGAGTGATGTGTGTTGTATGTATGTATGTATGTACCTGGTAGGTTTGTAGAGTATGTTGATTGTAGAGTATGTATGAAATTTACAGCAAATACTTAACACATACTGATAACGAATCAAAAACAACTAGATAAAAACTATACACATGAAAATAATTTGTATCGTTTTTTAAATTTTTTGTTGCTGCTTGTTTTGGTCTTGATAGCTAAATATGTACTTGAGAGATCATGTATGTGGATATGTGTACACATACTAATATTTGAGTAATAGATAAAGTATGACAGTTATGGGGGAAATTTATTGTCTGTTCACTACTTAAAATACAAATAAAAATGAAAACAATGCACACACACACACATACGCACACTCACAAAAAAAAAAAAAAAATAACAGAATAATCGAGCAATTTGTTAAGATTAACGAGAACATGCAGAAAAACAGTTGAGTAAAATAATTCTTGAGTGTGATATAAAAGTAGGCATGTCTTATAGGTATGTATGTATGTTTAACTTAATGATTATAATATTTATCATTGATTATAAAGCGTTCGTAAGCTTTTTAAATTTAAGCAAAGCTTTTTAAAAGCTGGCCAAATGTCGCTGATCGTTGTACTGAAGCGATGAATTTGTTGGGCAATCAAAATAAAGCAGTGGAATACAAAACTTGGGTAGTACTTGACATACGATACCTAGTTGCATGGACTTTTTAGGGTTAGGTAACGTCTTAAAGCTGCATCAGACGAGAAGCTTTTAGGGTTAATGCGAGCTTTTTGTGAAAAAAAGTTAAAATCGGAGTGGCGTTCAAGTTTTTGAAAAAAGTTTTGCCAATTGACGTAGCGAAAGCTTTTATAGAGCTTTTTAATGTTGCCACTTTTGGGATTAGGATTCGTAGAGCCACGTGCAAGACATGTACCCAACTATGTTAGTTAGTAACTGGATTAGTCAGGGGAATCATATGGAAATCATAACGAAAATGAGAATATTAACATCTAACGGAGGAAGAGGGAACAATGGGAGGATCACAACTAAAAGAGCTTTTTGAGGAATAAGAAGCTTTGCAACTGAAAAACTTACGCGCGTTTGCTTGCCCAGTTTCTTGTTTACCTGGACACCGACACTTAGTTTCTGGCCCATATGTCGGGAGGTTTGCTTGATCAAAATGCAGATCATTTCGGTCTGTAGCTCCGGCATGTCCAGGCAATGCTGCAGGGCGTTCTGGGCGAGCACCACATGATAATCGATGCCGGGCTGATTGACGGCCACCGACATGAACAGCTGAATGCTCTGTGGACGGAAAGGACAAGCGTATGCATATATACTATTAATTGAAGAGCCCGATTCTTGGAGTCCGGCTGTGAGCTTACCTTGAATAGCTTTATGGCCTCCGGTTGCATGGTCTCCGTGTGCATGGAGGAGAGTGGAGCTGTGATCGTATCTTTGGTGTGCAGCAGTATGGGATGGCGCCAGAGCACACAGTCTATAGCAGAATCGAAGTTCACTTTGTGAAGATGTGTCTACATTCAAGTGGCTATTATGCTGTACTTACTCGGATCTCCATCGGTTTCCATGAGCTTTTGGACCAGCTGCTCGTACTGTGTACCCGCACTGGGTCCGCCGCCCGAGACGACGGTCAGATGATACAGCCAATTGTCGCGCTCCGGCTTGCCGGATAAAATCAGATACGTGGGACCCTGATGCGCCGGGTAGATGGCGACAGTGAGACGCGCCTGATCCTGTGCCGCATCCTCGCGCTCCTCCGAGTCGGAATCGGAAACATGCTCAACTTCTTCAACGCGCGCATCACGCATATTGATCTGACCCAGCGGATTCTGTAGGATATAAACGGGATGCGTGATATCATTTGGCGCATAAGGCTTGAGCTGGCATTGCACTTACCGTCTCGGCGGGCGCCTTGAAGTAGAGGAACATCTTGCCAAGTAGGACACACCAGCACTTCTTAGCATGTCCGTTCTTCACCTTGGTCACCCAGCCCTGGACTGTCGGCTTCTGGTCATCCCGGCTGAGCAGCAACTTGGTCGCATTGCGACGCTGCACATTCTGCAGGACGCGAATCCAGTCGTCCATGGTGGCATGCGAATCGGCGGTCAGGTAATAGACCTTCTTGCCCGTATCGATCTCAAAGGTGGAGGCGCCCTCCGCCCGGCTAATGCGACAGGCCTCGTCCAGCTGTATTTGGCCCTGCGGCTTGCGCTGTACATCGTGCTGACTCTTCCAATAGTTGAGGGTGCCATTCTTCAGGACGAACCAGCGTTTGCGCCAGGTCTTCAGTTTGCCGCCCAGCTTGGCCAGGTGACCCATCTGGTTGGGTAGAGAGCGAAGGTAGGAGTTAAATAAAGTCGCAGATAACAAATTCGTAATGCTCACCTTCTCCAGAGATTCAAGCTTCTTGCTGGGCGAGTCCACGTAGGATTGGCGCATCAATAGCGATGGCATCGAGGCGTCCATGCATGTTGATTCCGAGACGGCATCCGGGGGCAGGGCATAGTCATCGGAGAGGCCTGATTCAAAGGAAAGATCTGAAATTACTGTGCCACGCATGTGGGGGCTCACGCGCAGTTGCGTCAGCTGCGCGCCAGTGGTAGTGGGCGTATGTAGGCGTGGCAGAGTGCTCTGTACACTCTTCACGGGCGCCAGCACCGGCGCCTGTGGGTGTGGCAGCGTGTGATGATGCTGATAATTGTGTGCTTGGTGTTGTTGTTGTTGTTGTTGTGTGCTGATACGCATGTGGACTGTGATGTGGCGGTGTGCGTGTGTGTGTGTGTGTATGGTTAATGGCGGGAAATGATGGAGGTTAATAGTGGTCATTGGTGGTTATAATTGAGAGCACCACACATATATCGAGGTGGAGGGCGAGGCGCAGGTAGGAGATGCAACCAGTTCAAATACTTGTTAGAATATCCATTGAAAATTAGTTGTAATAGAGTATTGAAAGACTGAGGTTTGGGATTCTTTTAGAATTGGTACAGACCTAAAATCAAATAAGCTACAGGGCTGTAAGGAACTAGGTTAGGAAATAATACAAGTATTGTATACATATGAAGTAGATGGAGATTGGGATAGACTATAGAATACAAGAAAACAATATAAGATTGCTTGAACTTAAGTTTTTAAAAATACAATGGGATATAAAAAGGAAAGCACATTCACTCATTATAAGGGCACAGCTTCAAGGTTGTTATAATGCTCAAGAAATGTCTAGGGTATACGAATTAGTCGAACACAGAAAATAATTAAGTAAATCAATATTGATAAAATATGAATTAAATGTTATAACAAACAAAAGAAATTCCATGAATATTAAGGGAATAAATATTTAATCTATCTTTAAGACTTTCGACTTGTATGTATAAGCTACTGTGACAGAAAAAACAAGAGTTAAATAAAAGATCAAACAAATAAATTAACAATGACAAAATGTTTTATGTTTTTGTGTAATATTAACTAAATTGTAAATTAAAGTTGGCCATAATGACCAGCAACAACAAGGTATAAACGCCACACTGTATCACCTTTTCGTTGCTTTTCTCACGAGGACAAGGCAATAGCAAGTAGCTATATGGGAAATCTGAGCGTTGACCTCTTAAAATTAAGAAAGCTTTAGGAGTTTTCTGCTGCTTACAAATCTCAAGTGGTTATAGTTTGGCTGAGGACAAGCCATGAGCAGTTGGCCAAGTGTGTTAATAATAGAACTGGGAGATTCTTGAAATATGTGAACGGAACACATGTCCATTGACTTCTTAGCATGAAGGAAATAACAAATAATAAGGATGTACTCGGGAATACGATTTTGCTCTGAAAATCGTGAGCTAATGTATTTAAATGCAGGACAGAAAGAATAAAAGCCAATTGAAGCTTGGGCAACTGTACGGGACTAATAATACTTTTAGTTAGGATAGTAGTTTGATGGTTGTTAGTGTTCAAGCTGGGGGGTTGTTCTGGAGGTTGGGTTAGTTCTGTTAGTGCTGTTATTGCTGTGGTTTCTTATGTGGAGTTACCGCTACCACTACGCTTTATTGGTTTACTGGTTAACTGGGCGGATGCGCGTGCTGAGAGAGAGGGGGTTTTGAGGGGTCGTACATACCACGGGCCTTGGCATTTTTGGGGCTCTCGGAGCCGCTGCGTTTGGCTGGGCTGAGGCTAGAGGATGTCTTTAGACTCTTTGAGGGGCTGGAGGCGCTGCCAGATGTGGAGGTCTCCGTGTTGTCCGTGCTGGATGAGTTGTGCGAATTGTGTGTAAGCATGACGGCATGATCCTCGCCGTCGCTGGAATCGTCACTGGAGTCGCCCGTGAAGGGCATCGAGCGTATTTGAGAGGCACGCCCCTTAACCGTGGCATAAACGGGCACGGATATATCACAGAAGCCGCCGCTGGCGGTTTGTTGCTGTCGCGTCGGCGGCTGGGGTGTACCCGGTGTGCCGCTGCTGCCCAGCGTGCCATTTGCATCATGGCCATGCCTGGTTCGTCCATTCGGTAGAGTCAGGCTGTGCTCCTGTTGCACATCCGGAATTGGCTCATTACTGGCGGTGCTCTCCGCGGTGCTGGTGCCGGTGCCGGTGCCGGCAAGTCCATCGTTGGCTACCTGATAGATCTTGGCCTCCCAGCTGGGAAAGCGATGCAGCGGCGGCGTCGGCGGCCTTGGCACGCCCAGTTCGCTGGTTGTGGTCGTTGTTGTGCTCGAATTGCCGCCGCTGGCCATTAGCGCCGGATTGTTTTTCATCCAGGCGGGCAGCTTCTCGCATGAGGGCGTATAGATTTCCGCATAGTCGTGCGCCGTGTCCGTATCAGAGCTATCTGGTCGGGTGCTTGCCACCGCAGCGGACTGCGCGGCCTTGCTGGAGATACTGGAGAGCGGCGCCAGGGTAAGCCCATCAACGGCCGCCACCAGATTGCGCTCCAGCTCCTGCGGCTCCATGGATAGATTGCGTCGATGCTGATGATGCGGATAGGAGCTGGTCAATGGCCGGCTAATGATCTCCTGCGGATCAAGGCTCTCACTGCGTCGTCGCGTCTCTGGCGTACTGGCAAAGTCCTGCACATCCAAGCTCAGGCTATTCCGCACAGGTCCCACAATGCTGTGCCGCTGCGATTGGTTGGCAATGTGATTCTTGAGCAACTCCAGCTGCTGATTACACTTGATATTCTGTTCACGCAGCAACTGATTCTGCTCCTCGAGATCTCGCAGCTTATTGTTCACCCACTCCTTGATCTTGGCGGCCTTTGCCTCGATCTGGCGTGCGTCATGCAGCCGCAGCTGCCGTTGCTCCTCTACTTGAATCTCCAATGAGTTAATTGTTTTCTCCGCCTCGTTGTTGGGCAGACAGACTCCCACGCCTAAGCTCGCTGGGCCGGCTGTGCTGCTGGCCAAGACACTCTGCTGGCAGGCAGCAGCCAAAGCTGCAGCGGCGATTGCCTGTTGCTGTTGTTGGTGTACGGGCGAGCTGGTCGCTGTGCCCTGCTGAGAGTGTTGTTGTTGTTGTTGTAGCTGTTGCTGTTGTTGTTGTTGTGCTGGTGGCTTTGGCCATTCACTGAGCCGCTGCTCCATAGCACGCACCTGTAAGCATACAAAGCGGAAAAAAATGTTAGAAAAAGCTTTGTCTGGTAAACCCGCCAATTCAATCCCTTGGGCAATCCCCACAACCTGCCCCAATACTCACTAAAGCGAAAAAGTTTCTCAGACAGTGCAAAAAAAAAACAAAACACTTTTAAAAATTCAATTAAATTTGCGCTAAGTTGCGGCCGTAAAATGAAACGTTCCTTTGCCAGGACTAATGGTTACATATGACCCTTGTTTCGCAGGATTCGCTGAGCAGCGAGCAAGTGGTAGAAACTTGGCCAAGAAGTAAGCAAGTTTCCAGCAGTTAGTTCAGCTGAGGTGGATCAAGTTAATAATTAATGGAAAAAGTTTACTTTACTAGCTGGGATTGGCGTTTAGGTGGTTCCTATGTGAGGATGGGGTTTAGTTACGATTCGTCCGAAAAGAATCTTCAAAATTTTAACGCAAGGCAGCAAAAACTCCGTTAAGTAGGAAGGTCGTGTAAAATGTTAAGCTGAAAGTCAATAACAGGCTAGTTAAGAGTTCAAATATTTTGTTGTAAAAATTTATCCTCAGAACCGAAGATTTGCTAGATGGAGTTCGACTGGAAGATGAGAAGATTTAAACGAGAATTGGCTTATTGCAAAGGTTCACTTCCTGATACGATTCAAAATAATTCAGAGAAGTTATTCAAAAAGACGTCAACTAAAGATAGAACCGAATTGAATACTTGTTGGAACCAGATGATACAGCCATGTTGTTAGGTTAAGTAGCGATAGCCCAACTTCAACTAGCTATTATTTATAATCGGATGTGCTTGTGCGCACATAAAGAGCTAGTCTAGCCGGTGCACAGGACTCAAGACCCAAAGGGCCAAAGGACTGTCAAGCGCGTGGTAAAATTATGAGGCGCAGTGGCGCAAAAACTTGTGTAATTAAACGCAACCATTTGGGGCAGACTGTGGCATGCATTTAACACTTGGCTGTGCTGCAGTTGAGCAAGGCATGCAAGCAACGCCTGGGTGCAGGGACAGAAGGGCGGATTCCAAGTACATATTTTCTTTTTTATGGGCACAAAACAGTTTGCAAGTAATGCTAGAAGACGATGGCTAAGAATAAAATAAAGAGAGGGGACAGAAGAGAAGATGAGAGGGGGGGGGGGGGGGGGGGGCAAACGAGAAACAGATACAACGGAAACGCAGGACATGGAGGAAATAACTTCATTTGACACGCCAACTTATCAGGTTGCACTCGAGGCTGGTCACCACAAACGGCAACTGACAACCAAAGCAAGCCCGGAAGCATGCTGAATGCCACTCGTAATCAAGTGGCAAGTGGCAACTGCCTCTTGTTACCTACTGCATTATTAGTTGCCATTTTGGTTTGTGGCACTACGCAAATGGGTCAATTGCCAAATGTTCAATGCTCGGGATGTGTTTGCAGGTCGAGGAACCCGATTCGAACTCTCGCTCAATGCCGGCGGCTTGCGACCCCCACTTGCAACTTCAAGCAACGTTTAATGCCCCCTTAAGCTCAGCTGGCGAATGTTAAAAATAGACTAAAAATAGACTGCCCAAAATAACAAACGGGAACTGAGGTTATTGGACGCGTCGCATATAAAATGCCAAAGTGTATGCTTCTACACACCCGAACAGAAACCTGACAAGCACAAACAAGCACCCACACATTGGCAGTTGCAAGCCCTAGAATCAACAAGCGTTAGCCAATACATACATATATATAATAATCAATGGATACATACACATACATACATACAAACATTCAGACATACATACAAACATACATACATATATACCGACTTACATACATACTTTTACACACACACATATACAAATCCTATTTGATTGCCAAAACTAATTACTTCACACTCATCACTTATAACTAAAGCATGAAAACCTGTGAAGCTTACTTGAACTTATGAGAATCGAGTAGTAGGGCAATATTTAATAAAGACATACACATAGACATACACATAGGCACACACATACATACATGCATACATACATACATACATGCTTACATTCATAGATACATGCATACACAAACACACGCATAAATACATAGATATATATTACAAAGCTTACAGTCATACATTTATATGCAGATACACACACATACATATGTACATATATATGCAAAAATTACCACATACAAACATACATTCTTATAAAAGCAATTAGGAGCTATAAGGAGGAAATAGGGAGAACCAATCTCATTGAACTACTTTTTGATAAATCTGCCTCGAATTGCAACTTAAAGAGAAATTCCCATTCAATAAAAAATCTGCGAAAAATCATTTTAAAAGCTGTTTTTGTTCAAACAACTTGCTTCTTCTTCTGCTTTGACTCGGTAAAAGTCAAAGTATTTATAGCGACACTTTGCCAACTATGCACGTTTTGTAGGATAGTGTAGCCAGGCAGCAGCCAAGCTAAAAACAGCGAATCAACGTATTAACTGCGCCCAAGTAGTTTCGGTTTCAAGTTTCTGTTCGAAAACTT